AAGGAGCACAGGGGGCACCTTTGGACAGTATTGTCACTCTGGGGGGAGGAGAGTATTAGATGCCCTATTAGATTTAAATACACTAACAAATTGAAAACAAACTCCAGCTTATCACTTTATACACAGTTACAGCAAGCATTTTTTTTCCCTTTTGGGATAAAGTTTTTGCATAAATAAATAAAAACTGGCCATTGTATGCACCCCTGCAAGTGGTAATTGGCTTGTCTCATCCGTGTAATTGATACATTCTGCTGGAAAACAGGATCTTTTGAAAAAAAACAGACTTACTGTCTGGATCACCAGATGAAAATAGAAGAAAGAAAGTCTAAAAATGAAAATGAATGCAACCATCAAATCTAAGAAATGGAAAGCTGCAACATAATAGATGTTTGCTTTTGGATTTAATACTGCTTTAAGTCCTCACTTAAAAACATCTAAAATTATAAAACTGGACAAGCATTCTAAAACATTCATCTGTTCAGTTTTCAATCTTCCTGTAGTCATAAGCACACAAATTTAATTCAGATACTATCAGAGTATGTACAGTATATGCATGGGGTGTTTTTTCTGTAGATCAGTGATCACAGTAACTGCTGTGGGATAAGAGGATTACTACTAGAGGAGACTAATTTTACTAGAGATCAATCACCTGCTTTAGAATGCATAGCAAGAGCTTCATGGGAGATTTTCAGTCATGATATCAGAGTGATCGTCACATACAGTAGCAGCCGAATTTCAGACAGCAGTAGCTACTTTTTTATTCCTATCTTTGGACTAAGTGCAGGCTAAACATTTTTACACACTTGCTATCACATGCCATCAAAAGATATTTTCAATACAGGAAACTGTTTTAAACTTCAACATTCCCCTCCACTGAAGCTATTGATCACCTGGACCTGAATGTTGGAAAATTGGAAAGTCAGGGACATTACAAAAATCATTTGCGTCACTTTCTTTTATTACAGAATTAAAATTTGCCTACGTAGCTCTATCCTTAAGCTGTGATCAAAAATTGGCCAGTTTAGCAGGGACTGTCCAAATTCCAATCTGTGTGTAGCCCTTCTGGTTCAACAGAAGCCGATCTCACGAGTGGCTTCTGCCAAACGGTCCTAAATTTTGCATACATACTGTACATAACACTACATTATTGCAATTAATAACTTTATCATTAACAAATGATCTCATTGTAGTTTGGTAACAATCTGATCATGTATGGATTATTAAAACTTCCGGTTCAACAGAAGCCGATCTCACGAGTGGCTTCTGCCAAACGGTCCTATCGGATAACCTGCTTCAATCAGTGGCTTGCAGCCAATCAGCTGAAGCTCTGATCGGTGTCTTCTGACACTTTCAGAATACAACAGCACAATGAAGATCCACAATGATTATGTGGATCCAGCAAACTGTGAGGTTTTTTTTGTTTAGCCTGCTGGTTGAATGAAAAAAAAACAGTGTTTACCCAGTTTTACTCCCTATTCCCTTTTAAATTTTGCATACATACTGTACATAACACTACATTATTGCAATTATTAACTTTATCATTAACAAATGATCCCATTGTAGTTTGGTGACAATCTGATCATGTATGGATTATTAAAACTTTAAGAAGATATTCTGGAACATTGTGGATTTTCCTGCCCTGGAATGAACTTTACTGTCCTTTCATCTGTTAAAATATTGCTATGGATGAGGCAGAAGGGTCTAGTGTAACTTCAACAGTGCTCAGAATAAAGACAGTTATGGTGTTATATTATCTCCATTCACGTTAAATATGCAGTTAAAGCATTTCTAAATCCCAGTATGAAAGGTAATGTATTTGATGTGGTAGCTGCACTCATTTTCTTTATTCAAGCTTTTTTAAAAACATTTTCCACCTTGTGATTCTGTCAGTAACACACTTACAGTCTTATGATGACAAAACTCCCTTGTTCTTCTATATCAGGAAAAGATGAACAAGTTAGGATTACTGAAACCCACTTCCTTCCTATTGTCCACAACATATAGGGGTAGAGTTTTGTAGTCTTCTGAGAACCATGTAATTAAGTGTTCTTGCATGGCAAGACCACTTACTGTTATCTCACATATATATTCTTATTATTATAGCCAAATTTACCACCCTAACTCCTCCCACAGTTTTTACACTACATAGACAGTAATATACCGAAACGTGCGGATTGTTCCCAATTGGTGTGCTATTACTTTGTGGAACATTTCGCCTAAATGTTCACGATATATTGGCTTTTTTGTGGTGAAATTGGTCCCATAGGAATGAATGGCGGAATGTTCAAAACTAGTTACTCTGCCCAGTCCAACCTTTTCACAGTTACTCAAGCCACTCCACCCAGTTACTCCGCCCACTCCAGTTGTAGACTACTGGTGGAGGCAAGAACACTTCACACAATTTCCCCAGAAATTGTAGCTTTTCTAGTTGATAACAGACAGCTCAGGTACAGAATACAGGAAGATGTCAGCTCACAAGATTTCTGGAAGGATCTATAGGCATATTTTTAATTTATCAAACAAACATAACAAAAAATGCTTTCGAAGGTTTTTTTTTTTTCTAGAGCAAAGAAACTCATTATTAGGCTTCATGCACACTGGGCGTTTCCCCAACTCTTCTAAATGCCTTTCTCCAGGCGAGAGAAAAGCAGTGTCAATATTTTTGCAAACACATTTAGGCGCATCAATCTCTTTTATTAATTTTATTGGCCATAATATTACATTATTCTGGCCAATGAAATGACTGAACACCCAAGCCCTTGATGCACTTAGTGCATATACAGGCTTTTAGGTACATCAGGCAGTTTTTCTGCCAAAACACTGCTGCTCCTGAATGCACTGGCAGTGTTTTTTTTTCTGCTTTTAAACTCCCCGGCCTCTAAACGCTTGTAAACGCCTATATTTTAATGAACACATAGGCTAACATTGTGGGGTGCTTAATGGAAGAAAAAAAAAACCAAGACACCACTGGAAGCAGCATTTAAAATGGCAAGCGTGCATGAGGCCTAAGGATTTACATACATTTTAATGGTTCACAAGATGTGTTAGTTTAACAAAGTTCTAATAGATCTCTTATTATCACTGTTATTTTAATCTGTTCTATTGTATTCCATTTAGTGAATATCAGTTGAAACAGCTATAGCAGGTAGCTTTAAAGCAGTAATAAACCAATGCTAAAAAAAAATAAAATGGTCCCCCCACAGGGTAAAGTCATAATGTACTAGTATGCACCACATACCAGCACATTATGGCAGACTTCCCTGTGGAATGGATCCTTCCTGTCACTGCTGGCAGGGAATCCATCTTCACCCAGTCTTCTTCTGGGTTCACTGGCTGCGGCCACTTGAATGGGCGAACCGTGATGACGTCATCCCGTGCGCTGTTTACGGCACAGTGCTCTGAAGTAACGACACAGGTATACCGTTCCTTCAGAGCACATGTGATGGTGACATCACCTGTGGTTACATAGGTAAATATCTCCTACCTAAAGGGTGCAGTGAATGTTGACATTTGCGTACAGCATCATGCAAGGAACGCCTAGAAGATACATTCTCCTACATACAGGTATTCATAAGACATTTTAAACAGTGGGTAGCAAATTACCACAATTATGCAACACATAGTGTAGTTATAAATGATCAAAAAGTCACAGCGGACACAAAAATTGTATTTAGTGCCTCACTGTGTCCATCAATAAAGATGAAAATATATTTACATCTACCTTAGTAACCTTTTGGTTTTCACTATTACTTACAGGCACATCTCTTTCAAAAGGCATTTGAACCGTCAGATGCATGTGTCCAGTGTGGATTTTGGAACTGACACCTTACAAGTGAGTGAACAGCCAACCAGCATTGGAAGGATAAAACCTGAATTGTACAAACAGAAATCAGTAGATTCAGAAGATGCCAAAAAGGAAGACACCAAGACCTGTGGAAAGATCAACTTTACCCTCAAGTACGACTATGAGAATGAAACTCTCATAGTAAAAATTCTCAGAGCTTTTGATCTTCCTGCCAAGGACTTCTGTGGAAGCTCCGATCCCTATGTGAAGATTTACCTGCTACCTGACCGAAAGAGAAAATTTCAAACACGGGTTCACAGAAAGACTCTTAACCCAACATTTGATGAATCATTTAACTTTCCAGTTCCCTACGATGACCTCCCTAGTCGAAAACTTCACCTCAGTGTATTTGATTTTGATAGATTTTCCAGGCATGACATGATAGGGGAAGTCATTTTGGAAAATTTGTTTGAGGCATCAGATTTGTCAAGGGAGTCTTCCATCTGGAAGGATATTCAATATGCCACCACGGTAAGATGTCTACTTTTGATAAGCTGTTTTACTGAATGGAATGTCATTATCTGACATTTCAGCCAAACTTGTCTACAGTAATCCTATTTGATGCATTTGCATTTGTCTTTTTATATTGGTCTGTGACAGTGTAACACGACTAAGGAGAATGCAGTATATATTTATATATGGACTTAAAGATAAAGTTTAGATTTTTTGGGGGGTGAGGGAAACAGCACAATATGAATGGTGGAGAGGCAGAAATGGCCAGGCGATCAGCACAAATTTTGTTAGTAACAGTAGCTGCTATTGACATTTAAAACCCCAACAAGATCAGGGCTCTAGGTAGTACCTGAAGGCTATTAAAGGAGCACTGCAAGGAAGATTTTTAACACAAAAGCAGCTTTCCTCAGGTAATGGGATATACACCGTTTGACATAACTGATCTATTTAGTGCTATATCCTAATCAAACACCCCCAAACATCAACTTAAAGGCCAGTTCATACCAGAACATGGTGCAGGAAATGTGCATTCTGTGCATGTTTCCTGCAGCATGTTCAAAATGCTCTGACTTTACAGTCTAAAAAATGCAGTACATCTGTGGCACGCATATTTCAAAAGAAGAGTATCCTCTACTTTTCGTGCAGCCCAGTGTGACTTGTTAAAAATGAATGGGCTGCCAAATCACACTGCAGGGGAATGCACCAGAATTGTATATGATAGTGAATTGCGTTCCTGTGCAATTCTGGTCTGAACTGGCCTATAAAGTGGAACTAGTAACAAAAAAAAAAATGACATATATGCAGGGGCAGACTGACCATTTGGAAACTCGGGCACTGCCCGAGGGCCCAGGGTCAGTAGGAGGCCCCATGAGATGCCCCTGGTACCTTTTTCATAGGCTTTTTTGAGTTTTGGCAAGGACACAGGGGCCCCATGATCCCCTATTGCCCAGGGGCCCCATGAGTTGTCAGTCCGCCCCTGCATATATGATACCTTTATGATGTGAAGTCCATCAAAACCTACTAGTCCATATTACACTACCCTCTCCTCAGGTTGACAATGATGTTATCAAAAGGTAGCTATGCTTATCCTCCATAAATACAGTGATGGAGTGAGCATAACCACCCTAAGACAGGAAGTGTGATACTGGCTGGATCTCCAGGTGAAAATAAAGGCTAAAAAGCCTTAAAAAATTAAAACTGATGCAGCCGCCAAATCTAAGAACTCGAGCAGCAAAAAAGTATGTTTTTGTTCTTGATTTTATATATACTTTAACTTATAATTTCTAAGGTTTTGTTTAAAGTTTTTGAAGTTTTTTAACATGGGAGCTCTCACATTAAATGTATACATTATTTTATATTCTGTGTTTATTGGCTGCTATAATCCAGCAGGGTAGAAAAAATTAACTATTTCCTATGTTTCTTTGCTGGTGCAAAGATAAGCTGCTGTTGCACATGCTCGTCCGAATTCTTGTAATTAGAAGTTGCATTGGCATCTGTATAGTGTGAGTTATGTGTATTTGAAAAGCTGAAATACTGTAGCATTCCCAGACATATCAAAGTCTCATGAAATGTGATAGACAGCATGGCTATAACTGTTGTAGCAGTTAAAGGACTATTGGGATTTCAGAAGTGCAATTGCCATGCAAAAGTATTATCCACTTTGAACACCACCAAAAGTTTATGAATGATTACAATTTATTAACCTGTTTTCGTTTTTTTTTACTGGCCCACAGGCTTCGATATTGCCTAAGTCACTGACCTGCAAAAACTATGCAAAAGTTGAAAGTCCTCATATGCATACTTGTTTCAGGTTGTAGCCTCAAATATTGTATGACAAGTATGTAACGGAAGCCCCCATTTTTTTCTCATTAGAATTATTTAAACAGCAAAAACATCTATTTCTGTTTATGTGTTTCATTAGAAAAATGTATTACAAAAATTCTATGAGGTTCATCTTTAGATCAAGAATTCATCTCTTAACAGATAATATACATCAATCATGGATGTTATAAATCCTGATTGCTTGCAAACAATGCCATATTATTCTCTATGTACTGATAATTCCAGCTCCCCCCTAACTAGAATTAAAACTGTCCCCTCCCCCCTTCTAACACTTAGGCTAACTAACTTGTGTAAGAAAGATACATACTTATTTATGTTCAGGTCAGTCTGGTCTAGTCCCGTGATCCAGTTCTCCTGTGTTAGTCAGCACAACTTCAAGAGAGAGAAGGGAGTGCCAACAATGGATTGGCCATTGAAGCCATTGATGTTACCACTCCAAGCTTTACTAGCTATTGTCGGAGCGCTCTCTCCTCTCTCCTGCAGCCACCACTAGCTGACACAGGGGAGATCACATTACCAAACTGGAGGGGCATGAAAATAGGTAAGCACTGTATATACATCTATCCTACACAGATTAGTTAACATAGGTGTGAGGAGAGAGGAGTGGACAGTTTTAAGGCTATTTGGGGGGAAGCTGGAATTCCACTTTAAGTATTCTAAAAAAAAAAAGCAGACATTTATATCAGGTAGTGAATTTGCCTGCATTTGACCTTCTCCTGCCATGCATTTGGCCTGCTTCAAGCAGCTTACACATTCCTATAGAATTGCTTTTGCATGTACATTTTAGGGGTCCACTCACTTTTTCACCTGCAGCAAGATCACTAAGGTGACAGGCTTAAGACATATAAAAAAAATCAATCGCTGTATATCAAAAGGGGCTTCCAAAGAAAATCCTGTGATTTGCAATGCGTGATGTTATTCAAACATCCAAGAGTGAAGGTGCTCTGTCCCACCACCAAAGGAAATCAAGGCCGCTCACCTTACTGATATGACCCCTGAATCAACAGAAAGGTCATATCAAACTTTTCCCCTTAGGGATCAACATACATGTGAGATCTTTACCATCCTCCGAATGATAGCAATGTGTCCATCAAAATATGCAATCATAAAAGCAAGACAGACATAGTGTTCTCTGTTTGCCAAAATCTATTAAGAGATATAATAAAATTCCACTTACAAAAAACAGCACTGTATAGTGCAGATAAATAGCATGCTTGGTAACAACGGCATAACAGCCGATCCGGAGAAAGCCACGGGTGATGTCAAAGATGTGGCCCCTCCTCCCGTATGTGTTACGTCCTACGGGACTTCATTGGCGGGAGCAGCGCCATGCTGCCACCTGTCTTCTAAATAGTATACACTGCTTCCATGGCAACTTGCGAACCACCAATAACTTATAAAATAACAGAGATGGTGGTAAATACAACATCACTGGGGAGCCAGAACAGGAGTCAGAACCCTAGTTTCGTAAATCCAAAAAAAGTTGTCTTACAAAATTCCTTCCCCTCCAAGGTCTATTAATTTTTTTCTATACCCTAAAAGTCACGGGTATTTTTACATAATTATTTATGTTTTTATTTTTTTATATGTTCCAAAAAATTATTTTTATGTGTGATCTTTGTGGGTCCCTGATGATTCAGGGAGCTAGTTGTGCCCTACGGGATCACCATTGGCTATTTCCTGTTCTAGTTTTATTTGTTTGTTATAATTGTACATGTAGATCAATTATTTTTTATTTTCTGGTATTTATACCTGTTTTGACTCCCCAGTGATGTTGTATTTGCCACCATATCTGTTATTTTTTAAGTTATTGGTGGTTCGCGGTGTATACTATTTAGGAGATAGGTGGCAGCATGGTGCCAGCTGATGAAGTCCCATAGGATGTAACATGTATGCGGGAGGGGCCACGCCTTTTGACGTCACCCATGGCTTTCTCTGGATCAGCTGTTATGCCATTGTTACCACATGCGCTAATTATATGCACTATTCGGTGCTGCTTTGTTTAAGTGCAATTTTATTATTTCTCTTTATACATTTTGGCAAACAGAGAGCACTATGTCTGTCTTACTTTTATGACTGGATATTTTGATGGACACATCGCTACCATTCGGAGGAGGGTAAAGATCTCACATGTATGTTGATTCATAAGGGAAAAAGTTTGATATGACCTTTCTGTTGATTCAGGGGTCATTTCAGTAAGGTGAGCGGCCTTGATTTCCTTTGGTGATGGGACAGAGCACCTTCACTCTTTGATGTTTGAATATCCTCACGCATTGCAAATCACAGGATTCTCTTTGGATGCTCTTGTTGATATACAGTCATTGATGAACTTTTTTATATACTGTAGCTATTCCGTTACACATTATACTTTCATTATTTGCAATGGGGTATTGTGGATTGCACCTTTGGTGTTTAGCTTGCAATTGCTACAGTCTGGAGTTAAAATTTTGATTGCGCTGATGATTTTTTAAAATAGGCTTAAGACGTGCTTGGTCCTGTCCCCTCCTACCTCCTATGCCTTACTGCTGGCCAGTGGGGATATCCATAATTAGGTTGTATGGAAGTTGGAATTCGGGAACTTTTTTGAAGTTTATGCCATATTTCAGAGTTTGTTGGAGTTTTATGAGTTGACAATATGTGTAGTTTCTTTTAGCTCCACTTTAAGCTGAATAAATCTGATTGTATGAATTATTTCACTGTGTTCTTTTAAGACGCTATATGAACTGCATAGGATTTTTAACATTACATATTTGTAATGAAGCACGATCCACAATTTTATGTGAAGATGTTTTTGTCCATAAAAACTGAACTTTCATAAACAGATGTTCTAGTCTTGATGTCTTTGGAAATATACTGCTTATGGTAATACTGGTAATACTGCTAATAATGCTTATTTAATTGCAATTGTAGAGCCCTGTGATGTCCTTTTTAGTGGTTATTTGATGAAACATTCATCTTCATTGGACTTTATATGATTATAATCCTCTTAGATATTGGATTTGACATATGTACAGTATATTGTGACCTAGATGTGTGTAGGGGGTCAATCTCTTTTTTTAATCTCTTTGCCATAGTCCATCATTTCTAATTATATGCTGTATATTACATTGGTATGTAGGTAAGTGTACTGAATTCCATGTATCTGAATCAATAAATTTAAAGAGTTTTAGATGGTAGAATATTGTTTAGGTAGCAAATGCTAAACACAGTTGATGGCAACTATACCACATAAAGGTGAAATGCAGACTTAATGCTCAAAACACTGATATGTATCAATTCTTGTTACTATATTATTATTGATTATTCCTTTAAAATATTTGCTACATGCATAATTCCTTGACAATGCTACTGTGTGATCAATAATCGTCATTACTGTTCCACAGCTTACCATAGTTTTTATGATAGCAAAATGTGTCTGGCATAGGTTAGAATTTAGAAACATTTGTTATTCTAGGCTGCTGTCCCTCATTTAAAATAAAATTCCTCTGCCCATCTTTTCTCTTTCACTTTCCCTTCTTCGGATGTGTAGAACACGCAAAAATAATTTACTGCATCAAACTTTTTAATCTAGTCCCTAAATTACTGATTTTTGTTATTTTGAAAAGCTAGCAAAAATGAAAAGTGGTGAAAAAATTATATATTGGCTTAACCAATATTTTCTTGTGTATTAATTTTTTTTCCGTTGGCGTACTGAGGCGGGGGTCAGGGATGTGTCCTTTATCTAAATACTTTGTGATAAAAGGTGTACTTCATTGTGATCTTAAAAAGTTGGGAGGTATGCATTCATGTAGCAGAGACATAAGTAAATTTACATTTTTAAAACTGTTTTGTAACTCAAAGGAGCTGAAAATAGATGAATTCTGAAAATATACAAAATTAATTCTAGTGCAATGCTATTTTTACAGACTAAAAGATTGGCAACTCATTTTAATAATTTCACATTTTTCATTATCCCATTTCCTCATTTGGTGTGTACTTCTGCAGAGCAAATTACTAATCTTCCTCCCTGTCAAATTTTACATATCACAGATAGGAATAAGGGAATCTGCTTGGGTTCAGTTCATGAAGTATGCAAACTTTGCAGTGAACCTTGTTGAAGTCAATGGGGGA